CAAATTGCCGGAATTGGTGATATCCAGGCAACGACAGGAACTGGGAGTACAATCTTATTGAAGGATGTCAGACATGTGCCAGATCTTAGGCTGAATCTTTTGTCAGTGGTGGCTCTTGACAAAGAAGGATATGAAAATTACTTCGGCGCAGGCACATGGAAGTTGTCAAAGGGTGTTCTGAAAATTGCCCGATTGTGGGACGTTGTACAAAACACATTTGAAGATCAGTACAAAAAGTCTCAATGTTGCAGAGGAGGTTTCCCAGTATCTATGGCACCAGAGACTCGACCATATGAGTGAGAAAGGGCTTACTACCTTGATGAAGAAGGATCTTATCAAGGTTGATAAAAGTGCGGCGATGGGTTCTTGCAGTCATTGCATGTTCGGCAAGCAGCATAGAGTCTCATTCAATACAAGTTCAACAAAGAGATCAGAGTTGTTAAGCTTGGTACACTCTGATGTTTGCGGTCCCATGGAGGTTGAATCACTGGGTGGAAGCAGATATTTTCTGACTTTCATTGATGATGCTTCTCGAAAGGTGTGGGTATATTTCCTGAATACGAAGGACCATGTGTTTGAGTACTTAAAGGAATTTCACGTCATGGTGGAACGTGAAACATGAAAGAAACTGAAATGTCTCCGATCTGATAATGGAGGCAAGTATACTTCCAAGGAGTTCGATGCATATTGCAGGACATATGGCATTCGACATGAGAAGTCAGTACCACGTACCCCTCAGCATAACGGTGTTGCTGAAAGAATGAATAAGACTATCATGGAGCGTGTCCGAAGCATGATGAACATGGCTAAATTACCAAAGCCATTTTGGGGAGAAGCTGTCAAGACCGCATGTTATCTGATCAACCGACCACCTTCAGTTCCATTAAATTTTGAAGTTCCAGAGAGAATATGGACTGGTAAGGATCCGACATACTCACATCTCAGAGTATTTGGTTGTGTAGCATATGCGCATGTATCCAAAGAGCTCAGGAAGAAGCTCGATGCAAGGTCCATCCCATGCATTTTTATTGGTTATGGAGATGAAGAGTTTGGATACAGAGTTTGGGATCCAAAGGAGAAAAAGGTGATCAGAAGTAGGGACGTTGTGTTCCAAGAAAAATTTGACAATAGAAGATATCGAAAAGCCCAAGATGTCTCAGAAGTCAAATGTGGGTGCTCAAGTTTCAGATGAAGCACCAGAATTGTTCCGGAGAAACAATGAAGATGATATACCAGAAGAAGATGAGGACACAGAAGAGAGTGCAGAGCAAGGGGAGCAACAACCCACCTCGCCAGAGCAAGGGGAGCCACAACCCATTTTGCCAGACACCAATGTTGGAAGTTCTTCTCAGATGGTTCTACCCACTCGTAGATCAGAACGAGGTCATATACCATCAAAAAGGTACTCATCATCTGAATACCTTCTATTGACAGAAGATGGAGAACCCGAGAGTTTTCAAGAAGCCATATCTCATAAGGATAAAGAAAAATGGATGGCTGCGATGCAGGAAGAGTTAGATTCTCTGCAGAAAAATCAAACCTATGAGATAGTTAAACTTCCAGAAGGGAAAAAGGCTTTGAAAAACAAATGGGTGTTCAAGCTGAAGAATGATGCAAATGGACAAGTGGTGAAACACAAAGCTCGATTGGTAGTCAAAGGCTTTCAGCAGAAGAAAGGAATTGATTTTGACGAGATCTTTGCACCAGTTGTCAAGATGACCTCAATTCGAGTCATACTTGGCTTGGCAGCAAGTATGAATTTGGAGCTTGAACAGATGGATGTGAAGACAATTTTTCTTCACCGAGATTTGAATGAAGAAATCTATATGCAGCAACCAGAAGGTTTTGAGGTTTCAAGTGAGAACCTCGTGTGCAAGCTATCTAAAAGCTTTTATGGTCTGAAGCAAGCACCAAGGCAGTGGAATAAGAAGTTTGACTCATGCATGAAGAGTCAAGGTTACAAGAAGACTACTGCAGATGAGTGTGTTTATATCAAGAGATACTCAGACGGAGCTTTCATAGTTCTTCTATTGTACGTCGACGACATGATGATCGTTGGAAATGATGCAGAGAAGATAAGCCAGCTGAAGAAAGAACTTCTAAGTCTTTTGATATGAAAGATTTAGGAAAGGCTCAACAGATTCTTGGGATGCAGATTACTCGAGATCGAAAGAACGACAAGTTATGGCTATCTCAAGAGAAGTACATTGAACGAGTACTTGAAAGATTCAATATGAGTGATGCCAAACAAGTAAGTATTCCACTTGCGAATCATTTCAAGTTGAGCAAGAGATTATGTCCAACATCCAAGGAAGAGATGGGGGAGATGTCTGCAGTGCCATACTCTTCAGCAGTTGGAAGTCTGATGTATGCAATGGTGTGTACAAGGCTAGATATTGCTCATGCAGTGGGTGTAGTGAGTCGTTTTCTTTCAATCCCCGGGAAGGAGCATTAGGAGGCTGTCAAATGGATTCTCAGATACTTGAAGGGTACTTCTAAGTTATGTCTTTGTTATGGGGGAGCTGATCCAGTCTTGGAAGGATATACTGATGTTGATATGGCCGGAGATATTGATTGTCGAAAATCTACTTCGGGCTATGTCTACACTTTCGCAGGGGGAGCTATTTCTTGGCAATCAAGATTGCAGAAGTCTGTTGCTTTATCCACAACAGAAGCTGAATATATTGTTGTCGCTGAAGCTGGTAAAGAAATGTTGTGGCTAAAGCGCTATCTCCAAGAACTTGAGATTAAACAGAAAGATTACAAGGTATATTGTGATAGTCAAAGTGCTATTGACTTAAGCAAGAACTCTATGTATCATGCCTGCACAAAGCATATTGATGTTCGGTATCACTGGATACGTGAGAAGATTGATCAACAGCTGTTGAAACTAGTGAAGATCAATACGAAGGAGAATCCATCAGATATGTTAACAAAAGTGGTTACACTGTATAAGCTTAAGCTATGCAGAGACATAATAAGAATGCTTGTTTGGAACTTGCATGGAAAGGGGAAAATTGAAGGTTCCATGCACATGCTATAAGCACACACATGAAGACTTCCATAAGCACACCAATGAAGATTTCTACCTCACCAATCATTCAAGTTCACACATATTTTTCTAAAATGGTGTGCTTAATTGTATCTATAAATAGGTTGCATATTTCATTCATTCAAATCATCCTAGAGAGTAATCAATCAACCTTGAGAGTGTTGAAACACAACCAAGAAAGAGTTGTGGAGTGTTTGAGAGTTTTTTGTTTAGAGTTTGTAAATCTCTTGTGTTTTTATTCTTGTGAGAAATAGAAACGTGTTTTTCTCTCAAATTATGCTTTCGATCTTGGGATGATACCACAACACATAAGATAGAGTGATCGAGTTCGAGTGGAGGAACAAAGGGGAGAAGCAGATGTGGATTGAGGGCATCCAAAAATTGTTGCACTTAATTTGCATTTGATTTCATTTGAAACGTTTGGGTATCCACCTGTCGAAGCCCCGTTTGAAGCGGCGACACTCTTCAGAGTTAATGCGCAGCACAATAGAGCCCGAACAACTTCAGGTTAGTCCCGGGCTGACCACGATCAGTCACGGGCAGCAGCCAAACGGTCCCGGACAACACTCTAGCTATCTCCGATCAACAGCGACAGTCTGCACAACAACCTAAGGACCCGAACAACTGCAAAACGTGCCCGAACAGCAACAAATAAATCTTAACAGACACAAAACGGGCCCCAACAAAAGAGAAAACCAACAGGGTATTCTTGCGAAAAAGGGAAACAAACCAATAATTTAAATACAAGAGGATCAACGTAATCGTGGTTGAATCTTGTTGAGGAAATCTCAGGCTCAGACCCCATATAATTAAACACATGAGAATCACAACGAATCTAGCTTCGGGTGATGGCCATTTGAACCACCAGCACCCGAACCTTTCAGTAGCACAAAGCCTTGCACAATCAAAACCTCACGAAGATGATACACGAAAAATATTCTCCGTATTTTTCTCAATTTCTCTGCTTTTTTTTTTCTCTCTCTCTTTTGCTTTCCTGCACACAACACTTGTTTTTCCACCAATACTCACATTAGCCATCTTGTACATTCACAAAGCATGCCCAGTACACTAACATCTCACACACATTCACATAGTTTTATTTTACCTTTTGCTTTTCCTGTTTACCTTATACCTTCACCTTATACCTTTTGCAGTTGTTATGTCATAATGATGTTTGCCTAATATTGGATCTACGGGCTAGAGTGAAATGTCATAATGAAGTAAACTCGACGTCCACGTCATTCATGTGTCAACGCCCCTTAGGGTATTATTGACGTCCACGTCATTCCTGTTTAACAGGTTAATCAAGATCGACACATTTTACGTATAACGACACAAATAAAAAAGAATTAGTAATGGTCACGGGGACCTCATCCGAGAACTGGGGGGTGCATGGAGCAATTGTGAAAGCTATTCGGGAGATGATGCACCGAGACTGGATAGTGCACATCGGGCACTGTTATCGAGAAGCTATTTTCGTTGCGGATTGTTTGGCGACGCTGGCCCATTTATGCCCTAGTGGTTGTCAGCGACTACCCGATCCACCGATAGAAATCAAACCGTGGCTAACGCATGACATCTTTGGCGTTGCGTATCCACGGAACACGACTATCTAGAGTTTCTAGGCTACGGCCTCCTTCCTTTGTACAAAAAAAAAAAAAAAACAATTAGTAGATGGACAGAGTAAAATAAAGTCCAAAATGTTGAAGCCGAAGGACAGAACATATAGAATATTTGGGCCCAGCAACGAGCCCAGCCCTTTTAAGTAGTGCACTCATTTCTATGGTACAAACGGACTTTGGAAAATTCAGGTCATGAACATGAACTTATGAACACACCATTTCCTATTTCCAAAGGGTCAGCAATCTGCCCACGGCCCATTAAGTGAGGGCCAATGTTGACACTGATAGAACCAACGTCGTAATTTTGACATAATTATAATTTATAACTCACAGTGCAGTTTTGTTACTTTATATATCACATTACATTAAATTTAAAATTAAATTTTCACATATTTATAACTCATGTCACAGTTTTGTTACGTTATACATCACATTAATTTAAAGGGAAATTTTACGATTCTCTTACAGAACCATTCCGTCGGGGTTCGTAACCATTAGATCAACTATCCACGATAGTTACATGATGATCTAATGGTTGCAAACCCAATAGAATGATTCCGTAACGAGACTGTAGCGCATTTCCCTAATTTTAAAATACGACTAAACATACACATTCATTTTTCGTCATCGTTTATGTCAAAGTTGTTTTATTCAATTTTAATTGATCATAATCTTGAATAATATTTCATAATAAAAATGATAATTTGATCAGCTGCATATAACATTTAATTAAAACTTCATTTTGAGTAACTAAAATAAATTAAAATAAATATAAGCCTATGAAACAAAAATATATTCTCACGACTTTGATATTATTTGGTAATTAAGATAGAACAATCCAGACGAAACGAATAGAGATGCTTGAAAGCAAGTAGGAAATACATGTGAATAACTTAGAGGAATATTAAAAATACATCAAATGGATGGGACATATAACATATATATGTGTCTAAAATTAAAGCTGATGCATTTGATGGTTGAGAATCAGTTATGTTCACATGCATTGTGTTTTTTTTTTTTTCTATTTTTCTCTTGATTTAAGCAAAGAAATACTATTTCAATGATGTAAAAAAAAATAAAAATCTATAAATACAGTACCTTTAACTTTGCTTTTTATCATCACAGCTTATTACTACATTGTACTAACTAGCTTGTGACAATCTTGGTGTGAGCTCTTGGGGGCTATCTAGCAAATTAAAGGCAAGAAGTCGAGAGAAGCGTATTATTCTCGATCGTCTCTACGTTTATTAGGTAAAATGTTTTGCATTCGTCAACAATTCGGGAAATTGTAAATTTGTACGCACTGTTGTTCCGGTTGTGTTCATGGAAGCATTTGCAAACACTTGAAAGAATACCATATTAGCTTTCTGCATGAAAAAATAAAAATCGCGTACAGATTCTGATGAATGAGTCAACCTTTGATACTTTTGCTTATGATGTTTTTAAAGTATGACGTTTTATTACGAAAGAAAAAATATTTGTGAATATAATCACTTCAATAATTTTAGAACTACTAACCCAAATGTAACCAACAAAGAAAAAAAAGTTATTATCTGTGAAGATTAAACTGAAGATTCAGAATAAGTTGTAATGTTCACTCATCAACTCATCTTTTTTGTATGCGAAACAAGATTCAGAAGGCGAAAGGAAAAAAAAATGAAGCCAACAAGAACTGCGGTTTTTGCTCTTATCCTCGTTATAATGATGATGATGGGCTCGGTTCTGGCCATCGATTGCGACAAGGAATGCAACCGTCGATGTTCTAAGGCCGGTCGAAAGGACCGGTGCCTGAAGTATTGTGGAATATGTTGTGGTGATTGTGGTTGTGTTCCTTCAGGAACTTACGGTAACAAGGACGAATGTCCTTGTTATCGGGACAAGAAGAACTCGAAGGGGGGACCAAAATGTCCTTGATTTAACTATGCTTTATTACACACACACACACATATTTAACAACGTTTGTGTGTTGTTGTTAATCTCCAATAATTGATGATCAAATTTGATTTAATTTGGGACTTTGAAGTGTAAGAGATTGTATGCATGCAAGTGATATAGCAACATAATGTTGTGAGTATGTATTGTTCTATCTTATATGTATAACGAATAAGCATGAAATAAGATTTGAATGATATTGGATTTGTGTTCCTATAGTTTTCATCTTCTTCTTTATGTTATTTCTATAATTGAAAAATAAAGGTTATTTCTTGGGGAAATGTTATGGTCTCATTACGGTACCATCCCGTCGGGTGTTTTAACCGTTAGATTCACGTGTACTTAGATAAGATAGATGATCCAACAGTTAAAACACTCGACGAAATACTACCGTAATGAGACCATAACATTTCCATATTTCGTGGTACTTGAACTATATTTAATGGAATAAGTGTTTGTATTTTTGCTTGTTGCAAGTAAAATATATAATTCAAAATTTAGAACACAAATAAAAACAAAGAAAAATGGTAAAATGTTAGCAGATTTTCCTTTTCCCTCGTCCTCACTCCCTTTCGCAGATCTCATCAATGCATACACATCGGGTCGGGCCATAAACCCGGGACGTACCCGTAGCCTCCACGCCCGGATCATCATCGCCGGCGCCGCTAAATCCCCACACCTCGCTTCCAAACTGAAAGCTTTCTACGCCGCCTGCAAACAGTTTGGCCACGCCCGCAAGGTGTTCGACGAAATTCCCAGGCCGAGTGGGACGCGAATATGGGCCGCTCTAATCGGATCCTACGCCCGCCACGGACTTTATCCAGAGTCAATAACCTCATTTTCCGAAATGCGGAAGGAAGAAAAGCTCAATCACGACAGGAATATCACGCTCAGCATCCTCAAAGCCTGTGGGCACCTCTGTTTTCGTAAAACCGGCCGAGGGCTACACACCGTTGTTCTGAAAAATGGGTTCGGGCGGGACCCGTTTGTGTCCTGCTCGCTTGTCGACATGTACTCGAGGTGCGAAAATGTTGAGGACGCCAAAAGAGTGTTTGACGAAATGTCGGAAGTGGATTTAGTGTCATTGAACACTATGGTTTGGGGCTACGTTCGCAACGGTTCGGTTCATGAGGCTCTTGGCTTGGTCGAGAAAACGAGATTTTTATTCGGGCTTATGCCCAATATTGTGACGTGGAATTCGTTGATCTCCGGATTCTCACAAGTGAATGATGAAGTGATGGTTAAGAGAATTCTCGAAAGTATGGAGGCCGATGGGATGAAGCCCGATACAATAGCCTTCACGTCGATAATTTCGGGTTATATCCAAAATTTTCGGACCAAAAAGGCATACGCTGTTTTTCGGAAAATGTTGCGATCGGGCCTCACCCCGACTTCCCTAACCATTAGCAGTCTCCTTCCGGGGACCGCCAACACAAAGGACTTGAGACGGGGAAAGGATTCACGGGTACTCGGTTTTGATTGGATTGAACGATGCCGTGTATGTGAAAAGCGCCCTCATTGATATGTACGCCAAATGCGGGTCCATCTCTGATTCACTCGCGATCTTCGAGGCAATGCCCGAGAAAACCACGGCCACATGGAACTCGATGATGTTCGGGTGCGCGAATCACGGGCTTTGTGACCGAGCGCTCGGGCTTTTTAACCGTATGGTGGAAGAGGACCGTGAAAAGCTCAA